AATGAATAATAACTATTATGATGATGATGATGATAGTAATAATAATGATAATTATGATAATAATGAATAGTGATAACAAGAACAACACATAATGACACATTATGCTAACGATGGTAATGATGATATTAATGGTAATAATGAAAATGTGATGATAATGATAATAATGAAAATAATAGTAATAAAAAGCATAATAGTAATGATGATAACAATGGGGATAAGTTAACAACAATATTCATAACAATAATAATATTAATGCTACTGCTAACAATGATAATGATAATGATAACGATGATAGTAATGATAATAATGATAGTGATAAGGTTGATGATGATTATGACAGGAATAACAATAATGCTAACAACACTGACAATACTGATTATAATAATGATGATGATAATGATAATAATAATAATGATAACAATAATCGAAATGATGATAAAAATAATAATGATGATAATAACAACAACAACAGTAGCAATATTACTGATAATAATAAAAAGAACAGTAATAACCAACGACAAGAATGTATGTCACGAACATTGCATCGATCTATTCATCTTTAAAATAGATATAATCCAATTATCTATTATAACCTGTCTATCTATCTACCTATATCTCTCTATCTACCTATATCTCTCTATCTATCTCTCTATCTACCTATATCTCTCTATCTATCTCTCTATCTACCTATATCTATCTCTCTCTATCTCTCTATCTACCTATATCTCTATCTCTCTATCTCTATATCTCTCTATCGCTATCTCTCTATCTCTATCTCGCTTTATCTATCTATCTACCTATATCTCTCTATCTATTTCTATATATGTATGTATGTATGTAGATACACTCACTTTTGTAGCATATCTTATCCTCAATTTACCCTTTTGAATATCATTGTTATTATCATTATTATTATTATCATTACTATGCTTATTATTATTATTATCATTATTATTAATATTGTTATCATTATTATTATTATTATTATTATTATTATTATTATTGTTATTGTTATATTATCATTATTGTTATTCATTATTATCATTATCATTATTTATCATTATATTTATAATTATTATTGTTGTTGTTTTTGTTGTTATTATTATTGTTATTATAAGTTTTATTATTATCATTATTACTATTATTGTTATCATTATCATCATTATTATTATCATTATTATTATTATTATCATAAGTATCATCATTATCATTAATATTATATTTTCATTATTATATAATCATTATTATTATTATGTAGTAGTAGTAGTAGTCATTATCATTATATAGGGTGTAGTAGTAGTAGTAGTAACAGTATTAGTATCATTATCATTATGATTGTATTTATCATTATTGTTGTTGTTATCGTCATTATTTCTTATCGGTATCATTATTAGTATTGTTATTGAATACTAATATTATTATCATTATTATATTATATTATTATTAGTAAATTATTATATTTGTCATTATTATTAGTAACATTGTCAGTATTATTGTCGCTATTATTGATATTTTTATTGCTGTTGTTATATCATTATCTTTTATTGTTGTCATTATCATTATTATCACAGTATCATGGCAATTATCATTATCATTATCATTAATATCATTATCACCATCATTGTTTTTATCATCATTATCATTTATGCTATCATCGTTATCACTGCTATCATTATCAGTTATTATTATCATCATTATCATCATAATCATCATTTTTATTGTTTTCATCATCACCTTTATACCAATCATCATTATGGTTATAATCATCTGCATCATTATCATTATCATCATTATTGTTATACCCATAAATATTATCTTTACGTTGTTGATCCCACACACAAGCTCTGAGCCACAGGAAACAACCTGAAGGAAACCAGATTGCAACATCATAATGCAACATGAAACTGTCTTACACACTTCACATCTTTCATTTTTCTTGCACTAGCTTGGAGCCTTCCTTGTTGCTACTGATAGTGTCATTAAATTTTACATTATTTGGTAATATGAATCGACTTATTGCGTTTTGTAAATATGTCTTACTGTTTAGCTTTTCAGTGTAAATCGGTCTATTGTGTTATTATCATTATTTTTTTCTATTATTTTTAAAAAGAGTTGCGCATAATGATATCACATAGTCAATTAAGAGAGAGAGAGAGAGAGAGAGAGAGAGAGAGAGAGAGAGAGAGAGAGAGAGAGAGAGAGAGAGAGAGAGAGAGAGAGAGAGAGAGAGAGAGAGAGAGAGAGAGAGAGAGAGAGAAAGAAAGAGAGAGAGGAGAGAGAGAGAGAGAGGAGAGAGGAGAGAGAAAGAAAGAAAGAAAGAAAGAAAGAGAGAGAGAGAGAGAGAGAGAGAAATGCAAACGAGATAAAATTTCCCCATAATAATGTAAATTTATAAAACTGCTACCTCTAGTCCGGAGCCATCTTTACCACCGAAAACAATAATAAAAAAAGAGGAAATAGACGTTTCTATAAAGTAAACAAGAAGCTTTGTAAGTAAGATGTTTGAATTTATAAAAATATTCGTGGCTCTTTGGAACCGCGCATCAAGCCAGAGGAATTTAAAGGAATGGCGTTGAAGCTGCAAGATGATAATGCTTATGTAATAATAATGATGATTATGATCATAATGATATTGGTAATAATAATAAGATCATGTATGATAGTATGTAATAATGACAATAGTGAGAAATGATAGTAGTAGTAATAATAATGACAATAGTGATGATAATGATAATAATAATAATAACAATTGTAGAACAGGTATGAATGAGACTGGATATCTTCACAATACATTTGTCAACATGGATACGGTTCAATAATAACAATAATAATAATTATTATAGCAATAACAATGATAATAGTAATGATACTGATAATAATAATAAGGATAACAATAAC